ACGAACGTGTCACAAAAAACACTGTTTAGTGAGTATATTCGCAGGCGGCATCAAACACGCGAAGATCGGAACGGTACTGACTTACTCTACCCTGCGATGATTACACATTTTTTTCGTCCAAATGAAAAGCTCGAGCTGACTGATATTTGGTTTCAGCAAGACGGTGCTGTATGCTACGCAGTTTTAGGAACAAGGGTTCAGTTGAGAGGCGAGTTCAGTGAGCAGTTTATTTTCATTTTTATTGTGCCGGTCGAATGATAACCTAAATTGTATAATTTTTTAGTAATACCAGAGAGTAAGAGAGTGAGACATTTACAGCGCAGCCACAGCCATCATTTACATGAAATAATTTTTAAACATAAAATTAGAATATATCAAATTTTTGATTCATACAAACAACCAGGCCTCGTAGTTTACTTAATACTTATATCAAAAAAATTAATATATAGCATGGCCGCAAAATCAAATTATAAAATTATATCGATTGTTCTCTCGAGTCAATTAAGGATTTCATAAATTTATCTGATATGAATGTGTTTCTTTTAAATTCGAATCCAAGAACTCCTAAAAAAAAACACCTGCTACTTGTCTTCACGCTTAGAAACTATTGAGAGAGGAAAAAAATCTAAAACTTTTTTTAACACGGCCTAGTGTATAACTATGGACACTGGTCAGTACCGCCCATGTTTGATTGTCAAGGTATTCATGGACCCGCCTTAGAATATAAAAATAGTTTGCAACACTTTCACAACCCGTACTTTCTGCCAAAAGCATTTCAAATGTTTTTCAAAAAGTAAAAAGGTAAATATTTCATGAAAACCAAGATTTTCAGAATGACTTCAGTTTAGATGGATATATGGTTTTACCCATTCAATGTCGTTGTTCTAATAACTCTGTTCTGCAATAACCCAAGTTGAATATTGCACAAAACCAGTTAGGAAAGATTTAAAAATACTGGATATACGAGAAAAAAACATGGACCGAAATTCGCTGTTGAATCGCATAAAAATCGTTGAATCGTATAAAAATCGATCCACTTCTGGTGCAGATGGTGAGCAACCTCAAAAGCAAACGATTGTGGTCGAAAGGTGATAAGCCAGCTAAAACAGAATTTAAGCCAGTATTGACGGCCAGAAAGGAAAAAATCGTCCAGCTTTGGCCAACAGGAGGGGAATCGCCAGACCACACATACCGATAGTGACTCCCTAAAGCTTGGTTGGTAGGTTATTATGCATCCCCTTTATAGACCGGACCTCACATCAAGTGATTACCATCTGTTCCTGTGTATAATGAATGATTTAATTGACTTGTATGTATTGTAAGCACTATATACATATTTACATAAATGAATATTTGTAAGTCAATTATCCCTTGAGAATTCCTCAAAAAATAGAGCAAAGAGAGAATATGCGAATAAAATGAATTTAAAATTATATGACCATAATGAAAAGGTTTCTGGCATTTATGGGAAAATTAATACTTTTCCGCCATATCTTTATTAAATGAAATTTCTAAAGGAAGCTATCTTAAACAGCACATATTATTTTATTAAAGTATTTTTAAACACTTCCAATGTTTTCTAAAAAATATAAAAGCAAATATTTCATGAAAGCCAAGATTTTCAGAATAACTTGAGTTTAGATTGACTGATGTCCGTTTCTTTGAAAGAGGTATATTTTTCCTTGAAAAACTTTGAACATTAATTCACTTAAAGTGTAGTCCACACATGGCTTTACTCATTCAATGCCGATGTTCTAACAACTCTGTCCTCTAATAACTTGAGTTAAACATTGCACAAAAACAATTAGGAAAGATTTAAAGAGACAGGATAGAAAAAACGAGAAAAAAACACATGTACCAAATTTCCAACTGTGATTCGCTGTTGAATCGTATAAAAATTTACAACTTGTGGTGCAGATGGTGACTGTTGATGAAAATGGAATCACTTACAGCAACGTCAAAAGAAAACGATTGTGGTCTAAGGGCGATAAGCCGGCAAAAACAGTATTCAAGCCAAGATTGACGACCAGAAAGGAAAAAATCGGTCAGCATCGTCCAGCTTTGGCCAATTCGGTCGTAACTCATTGATCTTATTTTCGTATATTCATAGGCTTCCATATATTTCGCATTTCGGGTTAAAGTTTTTGCAAATTAAAATGAAAATTTTTAATCAAAATTTATGTGTGCACCGAAAAGTATTTGCACAATACAAAAGCATCAATACATACTCATACAAATGTATGTATTCTATGTTCCACATGCACATTTACATAAATGAATATTTGTAAGTCTATTATCCCTTTGTGCATTCCTCTTAAAATAGAGCAAAAAGAGAATGTGCAAATGAAATGAATATAAAATTATATGGCCATAATGAAAGGGTTTCTGGGAAAATTAACACTTTTCTGCCATATCTTTATTGAATGAAATTTGCAAAGGAAGCTATCTTAAAACAGCATAAGATTATTTACAAAATTAAAGGAAGTTGGTTTATACCTATGTCGGAGTATGTATTATATGAGTGTTCATATCATGTTAATATGTCGGCATGAGGTTAGAAATATATGTATATCAAAGCGGCTTGGAGAGGTAAAAGAAATGTGTATTAATTAAGTATGTTCACAGCGTAGAAATCCACGGGCTACGGCATCTGAAAACGTTTTACCATCGTTCTTTTTATTATTAAGACTAAGACCCTTTTTACAGAGGTATTTTTTTTTTAACCTGAATACTACTCCCAGAAACATAGCTCACAATATATAAGTTTTGCGTCAACTTAGAAATAAATGGCATTAGAAGCTAGCCTTAGAATTGTATCTTAGCAACCAAGACAAGGGAGCTAATTGGGTTCTAATAATTTCTAGGGAATTTATACGCAACGAGTTAAATATTTAACGACTTTTATGTTGAAGGAACAAAATTTATAACGATATTTGCCAGCGAGTATTGGCGTTGAGCTGGTATGTGGGTTGTCAATATAAACTTTGCTCTTAAAATATCATCACAAAAAGCGGTCCGGTGACGTCCATTCGAATGTGCGGTGGCAAGTCGAAATCGCAGTTTGTGTATGTTGTGGCTTCGTCCTGTTTGAACCAGATATATTAACAGCGCCAAGCATTGTGAAATGAACTTCCGATTTTGCTCTGAGGATTTTAACTTAACTTTGAGGCAGGACAGCTTTATGTCTAGTTCGTTTATTTAGGTATTTATTTTAGTTTTTGAACTCGCAATAATACTTTTTCTCTAAGCAGTTATTAAATTAGGTGCAGAGGTGAGTATTTTATGCTCGTAAAATTAAGACTGGAGAATGGTCCGACGTATTTATGATCCAAAATCTCAAACCTGAAATAGTCTCATTAGCCAGTTCCGACAAAACGATAATTTGTGTGTACTAATCCTACTTTGTATAAAGTTTGGTTGGAATATCACAAGCACACTGACAGATCGGTCTAGCTCTTCTCCTTCTGGTACTTACATACATACTTCGGGCCAAAGTAAATATACCATGCATTTAAAAGGTATAAAAATGTTCATTAACAGGCTTATTCTCACAGTTACCGGTAAAGTAAATTTTGTTACTTTTTTTTACAACTCGAAATTGTATTTGGTATTCTGGCGAGCAGGTTACAATGTTTGAAAAATATTTGGCAGCACTGTTTTGTTCGTCCACGTCAAATTACATTTGCCAGTTGGTAAAATAAAAAGAAGAATATAAATAAATTTAATTAATTTGTTTATTTAATCATAAATATTTGAACCTATGTATAATAATTAAAAGTTAATTTGTTTTCTCGAAAACTTCTTAAAATACGGCTTTTTGCCCTTTTTTCTTCATCTTCAATGAATTCCAGGCCTACAATATGCCTACCCATTTTGATTTTTATTTTTCCTCAAACTAATAGATTTTTTATTTCCTCCTATTTCGCTGGTAACAAAATTTACAGGGTGACAGTGAACTCAGAATACGAAATAGTAACAAAGTTTGATGAATGGTAATTTACCAAATTACCAAAATATCAGGTGTACAACTTTTCCGAAAGGTGGCTGTACCGGCTGAGGCTGGTTGAAATGAATAGATGATAATGCCTTTAAAGTGAGTGTGGACAGTGCCTAACGAATTGTCATCGCCGTTTCAGTGGCAGTTGTTCTTGTTTTCGTATTTTTTACGCTCGAAAATGTCCGTTTATGTGCCTAGTTCTCGCCATTTGCGGGAAGTTTTACTTTTCTGTTACAATTCGAAAAAAAATACAGCTGAAGCGCATAAAAGGTAAGAGTGTTTCCGATTATTAATGCCATGCTGTAATACCGTGGTCTAAATCATGTTAAAGACTGTTACATAAATTAAAACTAAAAGGTCTCCACGTTGACTACACTGTTAAAACCTATTATTAATATACTTAGAGCAATATATTTTTTTGTGGAAGATTCTGAGACCTTAAGTCGCAGTATATGCACTGACATAATTTCTTAACTACTGATTCTCAACATTTCTTAATTTTTTTTTTAGAAATGATAACAGTGGTAAACATTACGAAATACGTAGTTTTGAGTAAATATTATTACTTTTACGCAAGCGATCGGGTACCGAAGACCTGTATATATATTTATAAGATATTAGGCTATGTTTTGAAATTAAATTAAAACAAAACACCACATTTACAATAGAACTAGAGTGCGCCTTCCAGCAAATTGTTACTAATATACACTCCTTGACGGTACTAAGTTTTTGGCAGGATCCCTACCAAAGGAAAGAAATATAAATAACATTACATTAAATAAATCTGCTATATCACCGATATAATTAAAAAAAAATTCTTTCTTGCAGAATTTTCATTGTTTTTTGATTCTACTTCTTTACTGGCATCTTTAGATGTACAATATATTTATCACAGGCAATTTACTGTAATTGATAAATTTCTGCTAATCTATCGCTGTTCACAATCTATTTATCGCATTTCAAAATCTCATACAAATATTTTTATATTTCTCATAGTACATACCTGCTTTGACCACAACATCCCGAGAAACAACTGTACCAACAGCATTACTGGCCACACAATGGTACACCGACCAGTGGACATCTTGTCTGAACTCTTCCGCTTCGAAGGGCGGAAAATAAAGCGAACCGTTGGCGAGTATGTGGCGTACCTGTAAGAAAATTATATAAATTACATACATACGTATATAACAAATTACTTTTAGCATGAAGAAAGCAAGTGTAAAATTGAATGCAATTTTTAACGGACTGGTCATATTTTAGGCCAAAAGAAAGGACAAAAAATTGAAAAAGTAGAGTGCACTACAAAGCAGATTTATCTGATTTTGTTGATTAAAAGTATTAAATAATTTATATATGTAGTAAGAAAGGCTTTGTCCTGAATGACCAACGGATCTACACACAGCCTAAACCATGAATCATAGAGACCCGGAATGGATGTTTGCTGCGTATAACGTCTCGACCCGATAAGAGGATTTTTCGAGAAGCGTACTTGGATCGAATTTATTTTTAAATCGGCATTGACTCAACTAAGAATTTTATTTATTTTTCTACAACTACCTATTATACAATATAAACATCACATTAGCATTTTTAAAGTAGTTCTTAAACTTTGAAATATTAATATGGCAACATTTCAAACAGAACGATTTTTCTCTTAAAAAACTAAAAATTTTAGCGAAGCGTTACGTGTCTATAAAACTCTATACTATTTTTTTACTTCATTTTGTAGCGAACGTTTGAATGAATCATACGAACAAGCAAGATTATTACAATAATAAATGTGTTACGTGTTTTTTTCGAACGTTATAGTTGCCGCCGCAACAGCTTATTTACATGACATTTGGTACACAGATATATCTTTTCTTAAATTTACATGGAGAATAATTCTTCTCCCAGATAGTGGGCTAGATTCGATGATTCGGTTTTATCCAAGGTAGGTGTCTCTTTGCCAATGTCAATGTGTGGTAAATTCGCATTCATAGTTCGATTTGCTTGATATCTGGAACAATGTTAGTTCTTTGAAAATTAAAAATATAATTATAATTCCATGCGGGAAGTTTGATAACGAAGAAGCACCTCAAAAAAGAAATTCGAAGCTTAGGTGTGACATGAATTAATGCAAAATAATTTGAGTGATCGCATTACCATTAGTAAAATGCTTCTAAAACTTAGCAAAATTGTACCATTTCTGTAAGGCCTCGACACAAAAATTTGAAAATGATTTCAAAACGATAATTTGAAGCGAAAAAATGATAGTCAAAGAGTGGAGAGACTCTCTACAGCATGAATTGGCGGTAAACTAGGTGATGCTGAGTGTACAAGTATATATACGATGGAGCTTGGTTGTGAAGTTTTAATGCAGTCATCTTATAGCCTGAACCTGCTGCCCTCTGTCTGCCATTTTTTCGGTATCTACGTAAATCTCTTGATGGTAAAACAGGGACGATCGGAAAGCCACTTAAAATCAGTTGACCGAGTACCTCGACGATAAATTACAGAAGCTCTACTCTTATGAATTTATAATGCTAATAATAACAGTAATAAAGTGTATTTGTAGCTACACAGGTATTAACTTGTAAGAATAAACACGATATATTATATTCAATAACGAAAAAATCAATAACTATTAATTGAAAATAAAATTTGATTTGACTTTAGTTAATAATTGCAAGCAAGATAACATGATATGAAACTCTCACAAATTGTGGCTAAGCGCGTTCCTCGATTCGTTTTACTGGGTTTTTTAAACCAAAAGAAGGAACTTCAGCAGTTCTTTAAGAAGCCTCAGCACCACTTAGTCAAAAAAGAAACGCACGTTCGGCAGAAAAGCAAAGTTATGTTATCAATCAATTTGCATTAAGAAAGCATTTAAGCATTATGTCAAAATTAAAAAAAAGTACTAATTGTGTTTGTTGAAGACAAATAAAGCTGCAAATGTTCAAAAATATTCATTTTGTGCAATTTCGGCACACTCTTTCCTACATTTCGGCCGGTATCTCACGAATAAATGCTTCAATGTTGTCACTCAACGCGTCAATTGAATCGGGCTTGTCTGCATAAACGCAAAATTTAACATGGACCCGCAAAAAATGGTCTAAAGGCGTTAATTCGCACGATCTAGGCGGCCAATCGACCGGTCCCGAACGTGAAATAAAAATGTTCACCGAACTCGCCTCTCAATAAGTCCATTGTTACGCATGCTGTGTGGCGTGTGGCACCGTGTTGTTGAAATCACATGTTATACAAGTCAAACTCTTGCATTTCGGGCATAAAAAGTTTAATATCATCTCACTGTAGCGCTCACCATTCACAGTTACGTTACGATTCGCATTATCTTTGAAGAAGTACGGTCCAATTGTGCCAACAGCCCATAAGCCGCACTAAATTGTGACTATTTCTAGATGCATTGGCAGCTCTTGCAATGCTTCTTTCTAATTTTCACCCAAATTTAGTCACAATAGCCCGAATAGACGCTTCAGTGCGTCAATTAAACTGACCATAAAATGGAAGAAGCACGCGATGGACTTTCTTAACAGAGCACGTATTTTGATATTAAAACTCAATAATTTACAAGCGTTGTTCGTTTGTAAGTCGATTCATGGTTAAATTATAGACCAAACTGAAGATATTTGACAGTGATGCAAAACACGAAACGTGCGTCAGCTGTTTAAACCAGTGTTGCCAAGGAGATAATAGCTAAAAAATTCGATGAGATTGAGTTTATGTCATTGCTCCTCATAGAATCAGTTTTTACTTTCCTGTTTTTTTCTAAGTTTTAAGTAAAGTATAAGGCATGATTTTAAAGCGGCAGAACTTATGAAATACTGAAAAAATACGAAATAATTCTTCTGCTGGCACTAAAAATGCGGAAATTCGAAATTATGGCGTAGCCATCAAAGACGAACTCACCGAATAAAGGAGACAGTATAAGAAGCTAGAGAGGGCTAACAAAAATTGGTGCCGCAAAAGCATACAACACACACATAAATGCACTGTCGCTTACACCCACACTGCATACACTCTTAAACCTAATTGAAGTGTTTCCTTCTGGACTCCCCACTTGGTTACATGGCAATGCGGATAAGATTGTATTATCTGCCGCAGTATTGCAACAACGTCGTTGGAACATTGACTTTTCGGTATCAGTATTGCTGCATTGTTCTACGGAAATGCACACACATACATACATAGTTTTGTGTGCGAGCATAAAATAAAATGCGAAGTTGCTACATTGTCCGACCGCCCGTTAATCTTCCTGACCATCGACACCCTTTATGGCTGTCTGCTTGATGAACGCGTCCGTCTGTTTGCCTGTCGGTCTATCTACTGCATGTGCCTCTCGACACCAACTCCTTCCTCCCCTAGTTGTGCTCAAATCGTCGATGGAGTATCGAAATAACTTCAGGTTAGCCGACAATGGCGCAGTTCGGTTCAAGTGGTTATTGATTGAATTTGTTCGAAACTGGCGCCCAATCCTCGCTCGTAGCTGTTTCCTTCAGGTCAGCTCTACTATATGATACTTGCTTTTGTTGTTATTATGCTGTTGCTATTGTATTTGATTTTCTATCGTTTGGCAGAGTTACTTCACTTTTTGCTACTGAAATATGCATTGTTTGGCTGTGAGTTTTGTGCTATCGAAGTTGCGACTCACACAAAATGTTTTGACCTCACTCCTTGGTTGGTTTGTCATTCTGCCTGTATTGAAATGTATTTAAACTTTAAACCAACAGCTGCTTAAATATTTATACATGTGCATATTTAAAGGAAGAAATTTTGTTTTATTATTAAATTCAATTAAAGAAGAATTGAAATGAATTCTTGCATATGTATTTAAGTGCATGCTCTCTATTACTTGAATATTTTTTTTTCTCTTGCATCATGGATGCTCAGAAAATTGATTGACCAAAAACCTCTTTATAGAATCAAAAATTATAAAATATTTTTCTTTTTTTTTATCATTTTTCTGTTTTCCAAGAAAAAAAAACTCTCTCCCCATAGCGCAATAGTTGGGAGATTATAGTAGCGACGTCTCGCAGAAAAGTAACGATAATTGCTCAAAACTGCTAAGTAGATCGTGAAAGCTGGTACTATATAGGACCAAAGTCTATACAATGAGCCAAGAGGCGTGGTTCGACCAAGAGGGGGAGAGGTCGCTATAAATGATACGCTATTACCATTTCATCGGTTAGAGGAAGTGAAAAAATTGTTGGCTTTTGAAAAAAAATCTCCGAGAAATTTGCGGCGCATTCGAATGATGGATACGATGAAATGTAGACTTTAAAAAACTAAATCAAAACGATTTATTAAAGCGCAACGAATAAGAATGGACGATTAAAGCGATAAAAAAAATTGTAATAATGGATGCGAAAGCAAGAGGTAGGTAGAGGTGTACGTCTGGACAAGGGTAAGTATATTGTTTGTGTATCGGTCAGCAGCACAAAGCTCCCAAAGCTACAGAGACAAATAAATATGATGATGACGATGATGATGTTCAATGAAACACAAAATATTCATTATTCGTTTGTTAAATCTTTTGGCCAGAAATTCAATCAAATTTTAGCCCCCATACGCATATTTCTAATTTCTTTAATTTATTTACTAAATTGAAGTTATTTATTCTACACTAATTTACAAATTCAAATAAATTATTGGACAAGTGCAGGTTAGATTCATAGCCATAAGCTGGCCATCAAGGTTTAAGTATTCGAGCCCTTCTTGATTGCAGCATTTCATAACGACTGTTAAATAATAACAACGCTCGATAAGCCATTTAAACTGTATTTCGATTTTTATTCAAAATACTTTTGCTTCATTTTGGTTGTTTTAAGCACTACTCTGGTTTCGATTTTTCAGACATTCACTACTCCTTTCCTCTTCACATCAAACTGGACCTTACGGAGTACTTCGTCCGAGCGCACAACTGAGAAGTATTTAATCAAATAGTTTCCCAATCTGTCATAAGCTAAAACCGGAGGAGCAGCTGCATTGCTATTATTTCAAAATACCTTAAACAAATTATTGTCAATTTGTTGGAAAGTTATCGAAAGATTTTAGCTCCAATCGTATCAAAAGACACAACTTCGGTTCAAGATCTAGCCAATATCGCAAGATTTTTGGATGAAGGCATGATGAGCGACTACAGTTGTACTTTTATATCTTAAACAAATTCCAAGCAATATAGATGACTCAGCTCCACATTTTTTCAAAAAATTTATAAAATCTAAAACTAATAACAAAATTTTGGTGTCTTATTAAGTACTCCAGATATATTATTTGGCAGGGCTAGGAGGCGCTTGTTTATCGACTCAGAGAGTGTTCTTAATTATTTTTAGTATATTTAGTGATCTGAAAACCTATATTTTCATTCTTCTCCTTCATCAGTTTGTGCTGACCAACACACAACATTTCAACTCAGGTATTTTCTGCTCAATTATTGCCCAGTAAAAACCTCAACATTACATCTATTTGGCTGTTTTAAGGAAAGGGAACTATCAAATGAAAAAAGTGACATCTAGGATATAAGGAAGGAGCGAGGTAGTAAAATACAAGGCATAACATTATTTTATATTAAATATTTTCATTTTTTTCTTAGCTTATAATTGTGTGTCTGCTCCAAAATATACTCTTTCTCTTCTTTAAATATGAACGGAAAGAAAATTTACCTTTGATATTGAGGTGATGGGATTATTATCCTTATCCAACCATTCGACATTCGGCGGCGGATTCCCGTGGGCTATACAATCGGCAATGCTGCCAGCATTGTTAGTGAATTCAATACGCGATGGTGGCTCATGCGAGAAATTAGGCCCTTGAGTGTCAAAGTAGTTGGAAGCAACTGCAAAAAAGAAGAAGAAAAATCGCAATAAAATAGGAATAACAAGATGGGAAGATTGAAATTAGATAAATGTGTAGTGAAAGCAAACGGTAGTTTATAACTGCAAATTTTGTTTATGAATGTGTGGCTGTGTGTGTTTTAAGATGCAACAGCAGTGATAAAAATTTTGTTGCATTCAAAGATTTTATTTGTGTGCAGAAGAGATTTACGTTAAATGCGATGATTGCTGATGCTAACTGCAGATAAAAAATGTGACCAAACCCAACTAAACGACCGTGCAGATTCGTCAACACAACACCTCCACTGTGATTGCAAAACGAGTAGCAGAAGAAGAAGGAGAAGATGGTACAATTGCTACTGTTGCTGAATGCTTAGAATCCAGACAGCAATCACACTCAGGCCACCTTGTTTAATTCTTTTTTAACCATTTTTTATTTACAATAGAATTTTATGTACACATATATTTTTTTGCCTTTTTTCTACACGTTTATTTCCTACGCCTTCAGTTGGCAACCCTTTTTGTATGATACTTTTACATTACTGTTGCTCGAGTTACAAACATTAAAACTCTGCTTGCCTGGTCTTAGACCGTTTGTCTTTGCTTCTTACAAATTCCCTTTCCAACCACACACTTTTTACCAGCATCTGTACAACCTAACAACTGCTCTAGAAAGACCTTTTAAAAATGCAGGCAAACAGTAAAACGGATTGGTATGGCTTGTCTTGACATGCGACGCGGCTTACTTGATTGTTAGATTGAAAAAATGTCTGGATGAGGGTTTGATGGCGGCATGGTTGCGTAGGGGTAGCGAATTGATATAAAGACTCATCATTATACACCCTCGCACAGCCACACACACACACACATACACACATTCGCAAGGCCAGTGAAGATGATGAAACAGATGGAGACACATCGCAAACAAAACCGCAATGGGTTCAAGTGCATCCTTTACAGATTTTTCTTGCAATTCACTTGCATCGCTAGCGCACTGCCATTAGTAACTCTAACTCCTGGAAGTAAATCAGCAAACAGCCTAAAAGCCGCACGAGTAAACAGGAAATTGCAAGGAACAAACTCAATAATGGCGCTGTACGCTGTGCAACAGTATAATTGCAGAGCTCGCAGTATGTGCTGCGAGAGAGAGGATGTAAAGTATGGTATGTGTGGCGCAGTAAAAGAAAGAACATATCCTTTCTTTTAACTAAGGGTAGCGTATGAGTGTAAGTGTTAGGTACATATGTATGTATGTATGCATGTAATAAAGTAAAAGATGGAAAACAAAAAGGAAATAAACAGTAAAACAGTAAAAGGAATTTCAAACGAGTGCCTGCTTCTTGTGGAGTTAAAGGCGAAATTAAAATGAAACCAAGAAGATGTAATTACTATGGAGCGCAAATTGCAAAAGCATATGAAACATCAAAACTCTGCCTCAGTGTGCAACCGGAGTATTCAGCAGCAGTCTTTATCGGGCTTCTGATTACTCTGACTTGCACTTCGACTCCAACTCCAGCCGGGCATACACATTTATTCGTACATCCATACACATGCAAGTACATTCGTATGCTTTTGCATAATTCCATAGACATCGATGACACTTTCTGAAGACAACGCTAACGTTGAGGGTGCCGTAGACGTTAATGCTCCATCAAGAAATAAGGTGAAAAATTAAAAAAAAAAAAATAAGAAAAAAATATTGATTGAAGAGTTAACTCTTGCAGCACTGACGGTAATGACAACGTTTCACAGCCCATTGAGTTTGAGTTTGTTACACTTAGGCTGCAGTTGATAACAGGAAGCTAACAAAGTTGATGTGGCATGATATACTTGAAGAGCTACTCACCTTATATAAATGATAAAAACCAGACTGAGGATATATGTAAAATATACACTTAAAACTTTGTAGTTAGTTGAGTGATTTGTAAATGAAAGAATCAACATTTTTTAAGATGAGAAAAATTGAAATTGTGAGATTTGTTTAAATAATTTATTTTTAGAGAAGTAGAAGCGTTTACAAAGCGCCCATTTTATAAATATCATATTAATTGTTCAATTGTATTATTGATTATGAAAATTTTTTCGGTTATCCAGGAAAATGTGAAAACCTAGAAGTTAGCCACACACAAATATTAATCATAAACATAATTTGAATAAAGTTTTTTCAAAAAACTCGATATGTGGTGCTGAAAGCAACGGCTCGACTGACTTGAATGAATACTAGCCAAAAGGTCTCATTTCCGACCACTTTTTGCAGCAATTGGGGGCATAAAAGCACCCCGAATATTATCTTCCAAAGCGTCATTTATTACAGGTTTTTCTGTGTAGACAACCTCACAGAAAATAGGTCAGCGGTATCTAATTGCACGAACTTGGACGTTACCTCAATGGCCCTCGATATGATAATGCGCTCACAAAAAGTTTCCTTCAATAAATTGAATATTTTGTTAGATATACGGCATGTATAGCGGTCTTTTTATAACCAAAGGTAGTTCACATGGTGTAACGTTGTCTCAACAATTTGGTTCTTTAACGTACTCACTCAACCAAAAGTGAGTTTCATCGTTGTAAAAAATTTGTTCATAAATTTCGAGATCGGGGTTATTCGTTGAACATGCCATGCGCTAGACGTTAGTTCGGTTTCTTGCACGAGTTGGATTATGCAAGCCCGCAAACCAATATTCTAATGCAAAGTATTTATTAAAACAAATGGGCATAGTACCAATTGTTGCGCGCGATGACGGATGGATTTTTTTTTCGGTACTCTGATCCTGAGCAACAACAGCGCCTTCGGAGCGTACTGTGCGATGTCTTTGATGAAGCATTATTTACTAGCATAAACGTGGTGCGAAACCGAATCATGATTGCCCGAATTGGCGACTCTAATGATTATGGCGATTAATTTGGTAATAAATTTGAACGATTTAAACAATTTGCAAATGATGTTCCATAGGATGTCTGTTCATCATGAAATGGCAAACATAACATAAAAACACTTCCATCACTTCACCTTAATGACTGTAACAAGAAAACCAAGACACAAAATTCTATAAGGTAGTTTCACATCAAAATTATTTGTTCTTGCCACTTATAAAATATTCAATTTGACGATTTTTTTTATTAAGAAGAATCAGGGGGGTAAATTGTAACCACGTGCGTTAGACCGAAGTGAAGAGATTTAGGTATTTACTTATTTACTTATTTGGTAGCTGGATGACTTAAATGAGGAGGAATCGGTCTAATATTACCTCAGTGCGGTCCATTAATGCTTTCCCGGATATTTGATATCTTTGCATATCTTGCATCTGGAAGAATTATCAATCTCCCGGAAATTCATAAAACACATCAGGTGGTCTGAAATCTGGAATGGTGAAAGGATCTTCACAAAACAAACAAACGATCACCATGAGTCACTAGGCCTAAGTGTGCTTGATCAGGCTTACCTTACAAGCTAATTAGATTTCCAAACTTCCATATAAATATTTAAAATAAGTTTCACAAAAAAAACTGTATCCTGTCTGCTTAAAAAAATTCTTTGTAGATAGTTTTCTTGGTAGGATACTATCAGGTTTTTTGGCGTTTAAAAGTTTAATTTAAATAATTTAATTGTTCACACTTTTTTTAAGAGAAGAGACTAGAACGAAACAGACGAAACTTGCTAAGAGGGAATGAAAATATTTTTAAATTATTGCATCAAGAAAAAAACTATGCTTCCAAAATATGGCAGTTGAAGCTTTGGTGAGTACCTTTTGGCAGATAAAAAACGAGATTCATGTTAAAAAAGCTCCTAAAAAACCATCTATTCTCATGCGCTCATTACTTGTTAATTGCGTGAAATTTTAAAATATTCTCTCTAATAGAATTCAATTTAATATGAGGTTTTTCATTACATCTTTTAAAACTTAGGTAAGCATTTTTCCTCGACTTCTAAATTAGAACCCGAAAAAACCGTTTTTTCAGCAATTTATTTGAAAAAAAAAAAAATAATTGAGGTAAACGAAATTTCAGATAATAATGTATTATATGTGAGCTCCAAAAAACAATTTTCAACAAAAAAACATGGAATTTTCCAATGTTTTCTGAAGCGGCTGCAGTGTGAACTCGTGAAAAGGTGCCGTGCGATGCACCTCACATAGGCAAACCAATTTTTTTAGTTTTTGTGAGTGTTTCGTCTACATGAACTGAACAATACCGAAAAAGTTGAAGAATCCCAAATTTTATTGCTGTTCAAAAAAGATTGACTTTTCTGAAAAAAAAAATTCACTTCAATTTGAAAAAACTAGTTTAAATAATACTTTTGTAAAACTTTTCTTCCACTTTTTTATTGTATCTCAAAATATTCAATTCGTGAAAATGCATAAGGTCTTAAATTAAAACTTATTAACTTATAACAAAACTACAGTACAGGCCACAAAAACAATTGAAAGGAACTTCATTCGTGTTGTAGTCCATTATTCATAGCATTTTCAATTTTTTTTCCCATAGCGGGAGGAAGCTCCTAAAATTCGTCCATCATGGAAACACTCACCGAATTATGTTTTGATAAAAGAAAAAAGTGAGCTTTTACAGGCTTTATTTGATTACATATCAATCAAATACATATAGATTATATACAAGTGAAAGAATTTTATTTAAATTCACTATAGTTAGTTCTTTTAAATTCTGGATTTTATTAATATAAAAATGTAAAATTTTAAAACAATTGAATTCCATAGTTCAATGTGCATTAAAATGAACCGTAACATTTGGTTAATTGGCCAGCATATCTACTCTCCACTAATATGCGGTTGCCACTGATTCACTTTGTTGAATGATTCACTCTGTTGAATGAAAAACCAAATGTAATGTTTTACTTTTAAATAATTTTATTTTAATATATTTTTTCTGCCGACAGTTACACCAAAGTAATATGTTTTATATAATTCAAGTACAAGTTACGGTAAAAAAAAAACCAATTTTATAAATGAAATATGTGGTATTATATTTAACCTAAAAAATGTGA